TTAATATTTGTAAATTTTGTTCATTCAGCGAAATATTTTTTTAAAATATCAGCTAGGTGGAGTCTTTTAAGACCACCCTAGCAACAGCTGAAACGACCAATTCGACTTCCCCATATAATGAAAATCTGCCTTTCTAGTCGAAATGGCGAAACCTAATCGGTTATTTTGATCGCTACTTGGGCTAGCCTTTAAAGTCGCTGGATAACTGTCTGAGGTTGAGAACATAAATTCAAGGCCATATCTTAAAGTTATCATGATTACTCAATCGAAGGCTCTCCAAATCTATGAGTGGAGAGCAATTTTTATGTTGATATGAAGTTGTACATTTGACAATAATGTTTGCTTCGAAACAGGTGATTGAATCTTTTAAACTTCTGACTTCATCGAAATAATCGTATGTAGAATGACTGAGGAGAGACTCGTTCCTTACTTACTTTAGACTGTAATTTTAATGACTTTTTCTGTTGAAGTTTTTATGATTTTGCTTTGCTTCTTGCAGTTTTGCCTCCAAAAAGAAGGTATCAATAATGACATGTTGATTTTTCCTTTTAAAGCTTTGACTATATTCTTGACTTTAACGATCGATTAGGATGTCTGGCAGCCTACTGAAGTTTTCACCTATTGACCGATGCATCCCAAATTTTTATATTTAGTGGTCACTAGAGAGTAACCAATCACATTTTACCTACTCTTGAAGACAACCAAATCCAATCGATCGTTTTCGCAATGTGGTCACTAAGTTAGGAGGCTTACCAAGGTAGCTTTCTTTGATTGATATTAGGTGGTTGGAAATAAATGGCAGGAAGCCTTACTCAAACCTAGTTTTGATGCTGATTGGTACTTACCAACAATATGCAATTTCATGCTTGATGAAAATATTGTCTCTTGAAGGATTCTAACATACGCTACGCAATGCTGGAGTTAGAGATGCTACCATTCAGATATTCGACTATAATTTTGAGGCTTTCTGGCAGCTACTTAGAACCAAAATTCTCCTGACAAAACTGTAGATAAGTAATTTTCTTCAACGATCACTACAACGTACTGCATAGTTCAACGTATCGGTCAAACTAATTCTGACTAGACTACTGAAACAAAAAGTGAATGACATTGAACTTGGTATCTTCTTGTAAGGGAGCTTGAAAGCTGTCATTGGAACAGCCAATGATATAAAGTGAAAGAGTGAAAGATTGATGGTAAATTTCAGCTCACTGGTCGCTAATAAAAGTATCATTTAAGTTACGGAAGACAAATTATGACAAATGATAGGAAGGTTGATGGTCGAGAATTTGTCTGCTAACTGAAGTCTTTTCGGTAAAGGAGATGTACAGTAAAAGAACCTCACGATGCATACTATAACTGGAATAAGCAACTGGAAGTTACTAGTGGCCAAAGAGCCCCAGAAGGTCAGATCTATAGAAGCTGACCTATCAACAAACTAGTGTTCAGAAGTTGACTCAAATAATATTCCTTAACCGTGTTTACGTGTTTCGTGGATCATAATATTTCACAAAGCAATACTTTGCGGATGCAGGTTTAACAGATGAAATCATATTTGAAACGATTAAGTGAAACGGTACTTAAAATTTTCAACGACCTTTCTTTTTAAATTTCACTCCAAATCTGCAATGCTTCTATTCATATTCTTGATGTCGTGGTGTTGTTGTCTCAAGTGGCGTCAGTTTTAAATCTGAATACTTTAGCTAAGTAATAGAACTGGGGTGAAATTCATAAACATTTCCAGCGTAAGTACAGCGATATCCGGCACCGGCAGTAAATCACTCAGGAACTATAACTAACTGGATGATAACCTTCATAATTTTCAGTATCTTTCAGTACAAGCTGATCTTACAGTAAAGCTGGGCTGACGACTAGTAACTGGGTGAGAAATCCATATGAAGACCACCGATTCGAGTCCTGACGCAACCCAAGGTCTTTATTTCACATTCATTCGTCACACAGAATGAATAATGTCAGTCATCCAAACAACACCTGCTTTTGACATTGCCATCAACAGCCTGTACAAGACTGCCTTCCTATAATCTAGCTGAAGCTGAACTCACATCAAAAAACCTGATGTGTGTGTGTGTTTGTGTATGTGATAATGATGTACAGTTAGTTATACAACACACAGTCACATGAAAACCTAGTAAAACCTTCCACATTGAAGTGAAATTAAGACCTAATCAGAAGCGAAGCCTCTTGGGTTAGCTAGCAGAACATCAAGTTTCACCTTCAATTATCAACCTGTATAAATCAATTTTTCTTCTAGTCACTTTTTTGGCAGTTAGACATATCATACATAGACACAATCTACGTCAAAAGACGGTAACAACATGAAAAGAATTTCTTATTACACTTTTTTCTTATCTTCAAAGGAAAACGCTTATCAGTAACATAAATTATGAATATCCCGCTTAAACACTGAATTTAAACAAACAGGCAAACAGTGAATCTATTTAATGACCGTGGTAGCGTTCATATATTTCTCTTCACAAAAAATGCCATTTTAGAAATAAGGTGTTTTGGAAGTGTAGGCTGATGAAAGAGGAATATAAACAGGTTTTGTCCGACGCCATTCAATATCACTCAACTGCTTATTCAACGAGGTTTAATGAGATATCAGCACTTGTCAGTCATTTTTCCAAGAATGTTTTTTATTTTGTAAATATCTGACAGACTTACAAGCTAGTGAAAGTTTGTGACGGAAGACGAAGTATGACTTGTCGTTGTGTGGTTGTCGTAAAATTCAAAGTTATCGAAAAATTTCAAAACCATTTATTGGATCCAGTTTACGATGTATTTCTTCTTATTTCACGCATGAACAATATGAATCCATTTATAACTATCATTTAGTGCCAAGTGGCTTAAATAAGCGGTAAACTGATGTAGTGGGCAAAGGTTTAACCTGTGTTTTTTTAAAATGACTCAGAGAAGGTTCAACATCTAATTGAGATCCTAGAAATAGACTCCATGTTTTCACACGAAATCTTATGCATAACGTTCAGCGGTTTAACTAACGAGTGATTGAACATCCTACCGAGAACCTGGAATCATATACAATAAACCATGATACTTCCAGCGGTGATGTGACTTCAGATATGTACGGTATAATCGTTAAACTTCAATTATTACTCTAGATGTCAGTAGCAGCAACATCAACTTCAGAAAGAAATGAGCTATGAGAATTTTTTGCAAGTGGATTAATAAGTTGTCCGGATGACCCTAGTCGAGACCGATTTTTTCATATAATCTTATGGTTGTACATGTATTTCGACTGGCTGCTCTGCTGATCTGAACTCTGAGCTTATTATTGTTTCTTATATTTCTTATAAGCTGACAGTTTTGGTGAATGTCAGTATGCATGTTGATAAGTGACCGACGTGAGTGACAAAGTCTAAAAATCCCCTGACATTCTTCGTATTTCCACTTCCCAAATGTACCACTTTTCTAGGTTGAATTCATGTTCACAGGTGTCCACATGTCCCCATATAAGTGAAGATAAATTGTAGTGCTTCACCACCAGTTGGAGTTTGCGTGCGTGAACATGAAGAAGACGGTCGCCTAGTCCGAGGCTTTCCTCTCTCCCAATTGTGTCCTTTGACCTGTATGACATGTAGTAAGAATATTTCGTAGGTTTATGGGTTACTTCAAGAGCTTCGTTGATCAAGTTACCAATTTCAAATGTTCTTCATTTATAGTTAAATAAATAGTCTGTTGCTTTCCAGGGATGATGTTTTAATTGGTGGCCAATTCTATAAACGATTTTTTGATTAAATTAAGTGGATAAACATTCTTTCGAAAGACAACTTTTTCTAATTTTCTCTATCACGTTGTTCTATGTACTGCTTGCAATCAGTCTTTTGAACACTTTTCTTGCACAAATAATTTTCCATATGGCGTTAGGTTATTGTTGATGTTGTTAAGGATTTCATCAATATCTAATTATTTTAATAGAAACAGCGAAAACTGTCCAGTAGATTTAGCGGAGAGGATTTAGAATGAATTATTCGAATAAGGCACGTTAACAGTAAACTTTTTTACATCAATGACAACAGTTAATCAGAATGTAGCCGATCAAAATAAAGAAAACCTTTCTACAAATTGGAATACAGTTGTCTGGTCAGTTATATCCCAAATAACTGGAATAATGCACTCAACCTACTTTTTATGCGACTTGCGTTGTTCATTGTGAGTAAATATGGAATGCAGTTGCTGATCTGCATAAACTGAAAGATCCATTCTTCTAGATCAGCTTCTCAACTCTTTTCAAGCAGTATACAGTATTTCCAACAGACTAAATTAACTGTGATCTAGATATATGCCAACTACTTTCATCCATCAACATTCATGTCAAGAAATGTTATCCATCTGTTCTTGGATTTTCTAAGACTGCATCTCTGGAAAGAGAAGACCGATCTGCACAAATGGCAAGTAGGAAACCCATTTTATTTGGCAAAGATCAGTATGAAACGATAAAAGTCAAGATATTTCACATCTGACTTTGCAGTCTCGTGAAACTGAATTGAAATTAGTCACAGCTTTGATACCATGTAGTCTGTATTTCGTCATCTTTGTCATTAAATCTGACGCCTCTCTCGGTGGATCACTATGGCTACTTGCCTAGTTAGGTGATCACATTACAAAGTGCTCAACAGAATTCAATCAAGACTTAGGACTAGATTTTATGAAGTCGGTTACTCTCCAGTGACTAAACAGTCTACGTAGTCCAATCCTCTTGGAGGTCAGTCGCGCCCTGAATATTCCAGTATCAGCGTTTCTGAATGGGTAGCAAGAGTTTGGACCTCACAGGAGACATCATTCGCGTCGAGGTTTCAGATGCGTCGTGCTGAAGAGTAGCATAAATCAAGAATTCTAGGTCTAGAAGAGCTTCCTACCGAGGTCCTAATCCAACTAACGCCCCACATTATCGTTTTGCATTGGTAAGAAATTAAAAACAAATCAAAAAAGGAAATAGTGTATAAAGAAACAGAAGTTACCGTGTTCAAATGTCGTTTTGGTGTTAAATCTGTCATTGGATTTTCAATAGTATGATTTGTTTGCCAGCCACTTTTTGACTTTTGATTTGGTTTATTCCATATAGCATCGAGTAACGGCTCACGCCATCTTGCCTGAAGAAAAATATCAGCTTGATATCGTTCATTCACAGTGTCCACTTGGCCAACCTTCACAAAGATCAGAACAAGTTCTACGCGAGCCTGAAAAGTATCAAGAATATGAGAGGAAATAAGAGAACGTTTATCATCATCTATAGAATAAATTGTTTACTTTTTATTTGTTTATCGATATTCACTATTTTTAGACAGATGATCCTGTGTTCGGCAAACGTGATATCATTATATAGTGTATTCTGTATGAACAGTGTATAAATTACATACTGACACTTGTATGTACCAATGTGTTGATAGTTCGTATCACATGTTTGTTCATAATGTCAATATATGGAAGTGAAAATAAAACCAGGTCAAATAACATGTTTTGTTTCCTCATTCCTACTTAGACAGTTTTGATTCCGTTCAATGCGAAGAGATCCGGATCTTCAACACCAATGTCAAGTCAATGCTGCTATATGGTTCAGAAACTTGGCGCGTTACGAAAAGTACTTCCAACAAACTACAGACGTTCATTAACAGCTGCCTACGCTGGCTCGATACTGAAGATCAGATGGTTAGGCTAATAAGAATATGCAACAAGGAACTCTGGGAACCAACCAACCAACAACCTATCGCCCAACAGATGTGCAAAAGAAAGTTGAGATGGATTGGATTGAAAATACACTGAGAAAACCTTTCAGAGACATCACGAGCCAGGCCCTCGAGTGGAATCCAAACGAGAAACGTTGAGTTGAGCGTCCTAGGGTGACATTGAGGAGATCATGTGAGGAAGAAATAATGCTTGTGTGAAGTCATGGTGCCAGGTTGAAAAGACTGCAGAGAATAGAATGAAATAGAGGCGTGCTACTGAAGCCTTATGTTCCACTAGGAACCCAAAGGAAAAAAATAATGCGAAGAGATGCGGATATGTGATGTTTCTTAAGAATCTGTGAATAATTTCGATATTGTCAAAGCCAACACTAGCTTGAAATTTTAGTATTTACAACTATGGTAGAAGTGTTTCCCAGTTTTTTCATCACTAGGGGGTCCGTTGAAAGCCCTTTCGTGTTCACTTTTCTGAGTTTTGGTTTCACATGAAGTTTATCCTATGTATACTGTCTTGCAGTATGAGCATTTCACATCGAGATTGCGAATCGTGAAGAGTTTCCTCCTCCACGTGAACTAAGGTGCCGAGCAATCTATTTGATGTTCTGTGCTGTAGAACACTCTGATATTGGATTTGTTCAGCCGTCTCCTAATCTCATCAGAGTTGTGAGGCAACGCTTGTTAAGGCCCATGATTTCGGAGTAGTTTTACGTCCTAGGTTAATATTATTTTCTATTTTGCGAATGAATTTCAGCGTTAGTAATTTAACTTCAAAATCTAGGCATTATGTAGAGGAAAGTAACATGCCTTCACAGCCCCATTCAACTGCAGGACTCATCAGTAGATTAGTAGTTTTAGGGTAATACAAAAGATTTGTACAAAACTCATTTAGACTTGCAGAGGCTAAAAAACATTAAGAATATGACAACTGTTTGATTTTCCTGTGGTTTAAGGTTTCTTCCTGGTCTTTTTGTTACCAAGCTGGGTAACTTCATCAGCATAAACTTCATTAGGAAATGCTGTATTTTTAAGCCTTATGAGTGTTTGTAAGGAATATTTGCCAACCTAGAGCATGATTAGCTTGTAGATAGGGGTGACCTATCCTTCTTTTTTTATCAGAGGCCCCGTTTATAATTTAGACACTTATAACATCTCCAGAAAACTGATCGGATAGAGATAGTTCTGTTGTGGACGTATGGCATGACCTTGTGGTTCAATAGAGTGCTGTCAAGTATGCCACATTCCATAAATATCCGATAACATTACTTCTCATCATGAAGAGAAATGAAATTTCTTCACTATCAGGTCTGTAAGTTACCTTCTGAATATTTTGACTGGAAAATAAGTTAAAATGCGTTTGAAGAAATTAAGGACTAAACGAAAGTACCGAAAACAACAGTACGCTACTTTGCTGCTGCACTAGGCCTCTTGGGTTTCTAATCCCTAAAAAAAACAGTCTACGGAGTTTCTGTACTCAGTTACAACTACTAAATTTGGCCTAGATTATTCACTGAATTCAGTTCTCCTTTAAACCTATATCACAAACGTGCTAATATTAACATTATATAACCTCCGAGATCATGAAATTTTGTCGTGGTATACTTGATAGTCCTAGATATTATAGCTTGTAATTTCCCGTCTTTGATAAGACTTAACTGGTTGGTCACTGTTGGCTAACTGGCTTCTCTGAAGAGGCCTTGATACTGACTGACTCTCAGTTCAAATGCACAATCCATGACATGCATTTTGCCCTACTTAGGATTCTTCAGCTGAATGTGACTGTGTCCGAGTGAGTGATGTTGTCCCTCGTAACAACCAAACCTATTGGCTTCAAACACCAGAGCCTTTTCTATCAACAATATGAAATTGAAAACACCTGCGGTGTCAGTGGGTCCTTATAGTAACCCATAAGTCAGTAATTGCCCGTCAATTCTGTTGAATCAACAACGAGGAACTACAACCTGTGATATCTAAACTGCAATATACCCATCACACAGGGAGTGACTACCATGAATCAGTGGCCTACTAGATAACGCTTGGGCGTTTGAAGTGATTACTTCTGAGTTCAGGTCTCAATGGGAACAAAATAGTTCACTCGAGGACGGGTACATCCAGCTGACGAGTCCCAAATAGGATGAGACTCACCTTCTAGATTCCCCTTCTAGCCAATATTTATCAATAATTTTCAACCACCAATAAGATGTATTAGCAAGGGAGTTTCCATCGGGGTTTAGTACGAATTAGAGAATAAGTGAAGAAAGGTAATTACTCTGCAACCGCATCATCCTTTTTCAGGACTTCGTAGAACTGATAAAATTGTTCGCGATCGAAATGAGTACATCCATTACTCAATATCATTTTTTTACTTACGTGCATATATATTTTGCGGCGCTGATTAACTACATGCAGCCTACCATAAGAACACTAAGAAATCATTCTCAAAACTAGCCAGAAACTAGTGCAGAATCAAAATTCAGCAAGTCGGTTTATTGAAATAGACCACAGACTAACTAAAACTAGGTGTAGACTACTGATAAAATTTGGAAACTCTCTTTTATTTAATTTCAGTTGCCAGCCGAATGATTTTTTAATTGTTGTAATCTAAAGTTCATACAAAAGCACAAGTATACCACGCGAGCAAGTTTTAGATTTAATCTGTTCATATGATGTAACATACAGTAACAATTTGGTTTGCTGGAACACAAATTTTAGCTCACTATCATTTCATTTACACAACTTCCAATACCTGACTTTCCTAGTTCTAATACGTCTCATTTTGCAGTTCGGTCACAGAAGTATATTCCTCTTATAAGGGTTGAGTTTAGTATCATCCTTATTGGGCGCTAATTTGACGTTATAAATATGACCATAGCACATTTACTGTACTGTAGCATTATACACAAACAAATTTAGTAGTGAAGGCAATCTGCTTCATTTGTGGGATAGGGAGAAATAGAAAGATGGGAGTAGTTTTATCGGACCAGAAAAAAATAAATGAGAAAGAGAAAGGGTTGTGTAAGGCTTCCTCGTCTTCAGAGAAACAAAAAACTGCAGATCATACCATTCAATATCAATTTAAGCCGTTCTAGTCAGGTATTGAGGCTATCAAGCTAAAAGGGTCTCCAGCAAATAAAATGACCTAAATAAGTAGCTGAGTCATGTATGGTTAATACTTTCAATTGAAAATTATCTTTCGGGACCTAATAAAAGTTCTTAAAAACACAAGACAGTAAGTAGAATCAATACTGTCAATGACAACTGCAGGACAACCAAGAAGGGATTTCGTTATCAGATATGGAAGGAGCACCAGGAAACAACGTAGGATCCCTAACAAGTCTGAATTTAATATGGAATTCAAACCAGTTAGTTAGTCGTTACATAATTTTGTCAGGTTGAGGTTCATATTGATTACCAACTTGAAAACGATAAACTCTTTACTAACCTTCGAAGTAGCTAAATATACAATTAAAAACGCCATTAGGATTGGGAATGTTGGTAGAGGTTCAGCTGTGAAACCATGAAATTGAAACACCATCATACAAGTGGGTCGAGCAGAACAATTAGATGGAAAGATATAGCGGTTACAGGGCCTTCTCTTATTTAATCAACCTTCGATGGATGAAACAAGAATGATGCAACACCTAGTTTTAAAATAAAAATATTCTACTGTCGCCATGTTTAAATAATGAGAGGTGATAGTGTGCTGTATACCGCCTATACTAACGTACACAAGTAGTATAGAGTGTGTGGTCCCTGTAAAAATCAAATAGAATTATCATTAACTTGGCAGTGGTTCTGATAGCAGAAACAAAAACAGAAAAGGAATAGAGGGGTTAAGCTTAGGAGTGACGAGCTGAAGCTTAACTCGAATTTCGATTACATAGACTATTTGCATGAATTATTTTTATAATAGCGTTTTCATACTTTATGAAGACTTCTCAGCAACCTTTCTTACCATTTTTTTGCCTTTGTTACCGCGATTTTAGTAGCTTTTCGAAAAAATTCAAGGCCTTCTCAGAGCTGATGGGCGACTAGGAGCCGAAGATAGAACTAATGGTGCTGAATGTGCTCTTGCCTGGAAGAGTGCGACTGCTTGGAGGAGGTTAACGGGTTGATTCTGTGAAAGATTCTTGTTGGCTGATAACGCGGTTTGACAGCCCGGTAAACAGATAGAAAGTCCAGTAGAGATTGACAGACACAAAACTCATGATAAATAAAGGTTTGTTGTAATTCGTAGTAACTTTGAAAGATCCATTATGTCGAGCATTACCTAACTTGGATGACGAATCTCGAGAACAATTTCTGGGTTTTTAGCCTATTGGAAGTGGGCTTACAACCATCACAAACTAGTTATACCTAGTAGGTGCCGCACAACCAGCGGACAACAGCGAGATGCCTACGTTCGCCTTCCAGCTTATGAGGCACATACCGGTAACAGTAATGAGTGAAAGTCTTGAAATAAACATTATCAGGGGGCTAGTAGAACTATGGTATGAGAT